CCCAATACATTAACATGCAATTAAAACTCCAAAGTAGCTGAACTTACAAAATCTGGTTCTGCTGCAAACAGAGGTACAGAAACATGATTAGACTTCCTACCTATATTAACACTATTTTTATTCCCTTTAATTGAAAAGCATGATGCTAGAGGATACTCTTCACTGAAAAAAAACCCATTTAGTAAGTGTACTAAATGTGTTAGGTGGCCAAGTTTACACACATTTAGCATTGACTGAGATTCCCTTTACTGGAATGAACTCAACCACTTACCATTATAGATGCCCTCACTATTTGAATGTAATGCCAAGTCACAGTTCAGTAACACTCAACACTATTTGGAAGATGTATTTTCAACTAAGAAATATTTACTTAAGCTTTAGGGCAGCTCACTAGCTCATCCAAGAGATGTGCATCTTGTAATTCTTCCTCAAAAGTTCAGGATTGCCCTTAGGTTTAACCTTATCATACCAGTCACCACTACAAATTAATCTACACAGAGAAAAAAAAAAACCAGCCAAGTGAATTTAGCATGGATTACTGTTTGTTTGTTCTTAAATCCATCAATTATTTGTTCAGAAGATGAGTGGGAGTTATTGTGGCAGGTGACAGGGGATATATGAGGGAACACACAGGACATGTTAGAGTGCAAGCAATGAATCCAGCTGAAATATCCTAGCTCAGGATTTGCCAAGGTAATGGTGCAACACAACCTGGAGATGCTGCACTGGATGCTCTGAGGCACTCACTTTTTTTCCTCCCTGTTTGCCTTTTGATGCATTCTGAAGCAATTTGAACCTTAAATCAATCTCCCCTTGTGTGACCTCTAACTCTTGCTGAGTGACCCTAGAGAAAGAAGGATCAGTGGAATTATGCACTGCAGTCCATGAACACAGCTGAAGACATCAGTACCAAAAAGACAGGGCTAGGGGAAGAAAAAGGAAAAAGAAAAGGTTAAAAAGAAAATCTTGCCAAACAAGAACGACGCAAAGCATTCGCCACAGCTCTATTACTGGCTCTCCCATCAGCCACAACAATGAAATGAATGACTTGGAAAAAACCTTCCTAAAAAACCCACAATTTTCTTTTTAAGCTCTGAATGAAGAAAAAAAACCTCCACACCCATGCTTCATGTTTTCTAGTTTGTTTAAAGGCCGTATTCCCAAGGGCAGTAGATGAGCATATCTGCATATTAGGAGCCACAAATCTGTGCAGAGGCGCACTGAAGTGGAGCCTGTACAATTAAATTGCTACATATGCACAAATACACTGAGGATCCCAGGGAAACTATGGCAACCACTAGTCCTCCAGGTTGTGATTCTCCCTTTGTCCCTACCTCTCTTTGCTCTTCCAGCCCTTCCCAACTTGGACAAGAAAAATAATAAACAGAAGTGTTAATGAGGTCGGGATTGGACCTGCAACAAAGGAGCTGGAAAGGCAAAGAGAGCTGCTCACAGGCTTGAATCTGGAAACATTCTAAAGGAAAAACTTTTCAGTGGAGCTGTACAACAGTGATGAATGGGATACAAGCAGCCCTGGGGTACCAAGTCCTGCCTAGGAAACCAGGGCTAGAGCACCCAGAGTGCCACTGAACCACTGGCTGGAGCACTGGTACAAGTGACTTTTAATCTGGATGCCTTATGGGGTTTTGGCCAGCTGAGATAGTTACAGCCCCATTTTCAGAATTGCTGAGCCACCCCAACTCCCAGTCCTTTTCTCACAGGACACCTGCACCGGACTTGGACACTGCTCGTAAGTATTTAAAAATAGTAAGGATACTGTCCAAGTATCAAATATACCTTTTTATCTATCCTAAATCATGCTTTGAAAGTCTTTTGGGTCCTCTGTGAGGGTTACTGATGCTTGCAAAGTCCTCTGGCATCCTCAAATGAAGAGCCTGGTAGGAGAGTAAAGCATTCCTTATTTTCATTTTATTTATTTCATTCCTTATTTTCATGTTTATATTTAGCTTCAGGGAGAAGGGTCTTCTCGTGTAAGGTAGTGTTTATTGACATTTAGACCAGAAATGCCACTGATAGTAAAAAACAGTAGATTTTTTTCACTTCCTACAAACCTGAATCATGGGGTTTTTTGCATTGTATTTCAAGCAGCATTTGCACAGAAGTTTATGCTGTAACAACAGGTCTTTTCTCTTTCAACTGTCACATTTAGCTTCCCCTCTTGGTCAATATATTACAACAAGGTCAACCCCAAACCAAAAGGAATTGTATACTTCATTACTGACCGCAGAGGAAGATAAACCAAAGACAGTTTTTGCTCTTGTGAACCTCAGAAAACTCTGTCATTTCTACACAGGAGATGTCAATTTGTATTTCTGAATCACACACTGTCAAACACATGCATACATAAACACACATCTCTGTCTCTTCACCTCCTTGGAATCTAAATTATCTAAAAGAAAAACTCCAATGGATGCATTCCAATCGTACCTCCCACCTTCTTTTCACCTCCACATTTCAGTAATTTAAATCTGGCTTATTTCTACTCTTCCCTGAAGTCTTAGACAGCAACAGACTCAGTATAAAGATCCCTACAGAAAAGGTGATGTACACACAGGGGAAAAAAGCAAAACCCTCTCTGCCAAGTGCGCCTATGCAGCCTTGAGGACACGCAGGATCCCCTTCAAACAGGGAAAGGGACTGACTCATCCCTCAGACCTCTTTTAATGCAATGTTGGGCACTTCATAGTATTTCCAAACAGTCTGTACTCTTTCTTCCCCTCCTAACTCCATGGAAAGGTGCTGGAGGCTGCCTGCTCCTCTGAGGAGAGGACATTGCCACACATTTTAGTGACTGCTTCTCTCATGCGTTGCCAGCTGCTACTGCTCCTGCTGGGTTTTTCTCTTGGGTTTTCTGTTCGGGTTTTTTTGGTTGGTTTAAACAATGTATTAAATTTTACCATTCGAAAATGTTACTCAGCACAAGCTTTAAAGAAATCCTGCATCACTCCTCAAACAGGCAATTGACGTTGGTGGAGAGGAGCAGTCCTACCACAACTTCCTAAGTTTAAGCCAAAGAAGAATTCTGACAGAGAAGAATCAAAACAAAATAAATTCTCCCTAGTGATCCATTTCTCTCAAAGTTTAATCCTAATTCTGACCTGAATTGTGTTAGTAGTTAGAGACAAACTGCTCAGAAAACTTTTGCACATGGGAAGACACCTACCACACAGGCAGCAAGGAGTCTGAAATGCAGTGATCTGCTTTTATTATTGCATTTATATATCAATACTGTAATTATGAAACTTAATTTGGTTTCTCCCTGTCCTCAGTCTGTCTCCATACCGTTTTCTGTTCCATTTCTTCACATCTCTATATTTCCTGCTAAATGCATGTGGCATTCACAAAATGACACCATGCCTCACAGCCTTGGGAGCAAGACTATTGTGGAAATGAAAGAGCATTTAGAAAAACAGACTTAATGTCAGAGCCTGCTTTTGCCATCAACCTCACTTCTTTTGTATCACTGTTCACCATTTGTTTCAAGTGACCTGATTAAGCCCAAGAATGCTTCCAGGGAGGGCAGCTGACAGCAAACCCTGTGGCACAGAGGGGATGGAGCCACTGCTGCAACCCCACAGAACTCTGAGCAGAGTTTGCAGAAAGACCCTGTGCCAGACTTACCTCATGCCAATGTCAGAGCATGCTGGGGTCAACTTGCACTCCCAGTTACAAGAGAAAACAGCCAGCAAATGCTACTGAGAATGCAAAAGCACATCATCTTGCACTTGCAGCCCAGGTCTTTCCCCAAAACAGAGCACCAATGGCTTGATCTCACCCTCAGCTTTTTTTCCTGTCCCTGGACTCTCAGGATGTACTGTAGGTGGTTAGTGCTTTTGGCCATCTAGAAGGTAGGGTGTGCAGGGTGGAAAGTCTGTAGCCCTTTCCTGTATGGTTGTGCAGTTACTCACACTTCAGCAGAGACTCCAGAGCTGCAATGGAGATTTTATTAAACAGCTCTGGATCTACAGTAGCAGATGGAATGATAAAACCTTTCAATAATTAAAAGTACACACAACTAAAGCAGATTACACAGAACTGCACCCTGAATTCTTCCCAAGCCTTGATTCTAGCTGGTAGCACTGGGTATTTCACTAAGGAAATGGCAGTCACTGGTGGCCTTGAAGGCACTTGTCTGAATTCATCTAAGAGAGGAACTAATTTACTGCAGCTCTATTAAAAATCTCTCTAAACAGCAACAGCTGAACAGCTCAGCAGTCATTGGCCGTTAACATCATTGCCAGGATCCTTTGCTAGGATCAGTTGGGAATGAGAAACCTTCTTTACTATGCTTGCAGTTCAAACATTCAAACCCTAAACAGGCACATCAGTAACTAAAAACCAGAATGCCAGATCCAGACAGGCTGAGCCAGAACGGGTCCAGGCTACATGAACATGCCTCCAAAATCTCTGGTTCAGAAAGACATTAAATAATAGATGGGAAAGCAAAAACTGAACTTGAGCAGCTGGCTCAGGGACCTGCCTTTCCCTCCTTCAGTGCACAGCAGTGCAACCCTACCTAGCTCTCATCTGCTGCACAGCGCTCGCCTGGGCATTTTCTAGAGGCAGTGATACTCTCTCCACTGGAATTTACACAGAGAAATATCAACTCTAACGTTCAGCTCTATATGATTAAGCTGAAATGAGAAATGTTCCAACAGGCAAGGACAGCTTTAATCAGGTAGAAGCCTACACACTGTTTCCAAAGCCATTAAAAACCTATTTCTTCCCTTCTGACTTAAGAAGTCTATTAAGGGTCTGTGTTGTTTTGGTTCAGGTTTAAGTCTGCAGAGGGTATAGCTAGCAAATACCAAATGCTTTGGTTATCTCTCTAGACTAAGATACTGCATTTCCAAATTATATACTTTTTCCAGAAGGTTTGGTTTCTCAAGGTCAGTGCAATATCATAGAGCAGTTAAAAAAATAAAATTTAAAAAAAAAAAAAAAAAAAAAAAAGGAAAAGGAAGAAAAGAGCCCCTTACCTGTGGCAGAGTGCAGACTCTCCAAGCTCCAGTACCTGGACAGGACGCCTCTCATGCCACCACCACCACACACCACCCCGCTGCTGTCTGAATCCGAGCCCGGCGAGAGCCCGGAGCTGCCACTGCTGCTGCAGTTCTCGGCACTGTGTGCCCCGCTGGACTCGCTGGGGCACTGCTGGGTCCTCATGCAGGCGGGTGACAGGGGGAGCCGGGGGCTCTGCGGGGCCGCGGGAGGGATCGGGCAGCGCTCTGCGGAGCTCTCGCAGGGCAGCGGGACCTGGCAGCGCCGGCCGAGCACTGGGCTGGATCCCGAGCCCCCGCTCCGCTCGCCTCGATGCATCCTGACATCATAGGGGTCCGCTAAGGAGGCTCCCTCCGAGGCAGCTCCGCCGCTCTCAGCCGCAGCTCCCAGCAGCTGATTTTTATTAAAGCCGATTTCAAGGCATTAAGGAAGCAAAGGGTGAGACAGAGATCTCTGCTCCTAATTTAGCAGAACTGTCAGATTAAAAATAAATAAGTGGAAATAGTAGAATTTCATGCATTTTAAAAATGCCCGAGTGAGAGAGACCTTGTGTTATCTGCTTCCCCTGAGAACTCAGAAAGGATTTAACATATAAACTAATCATGTTTAGAACTGGCTGTGACTGCTGCTATTAAAAAACTATTTTTGTAAGTACTCGGAAGAAGAATTCAAAATGAAATTAAAGCCAGAAAAACACAGATTGAGATTTGGGGAGATTGCAGCTGGGAGTTCTGAAAAATCATATTAGCATCCACTCCCAGACTGCGGACCTGGTATGATCCCTCTTTCCGTGTGTAATCTTTGTAAGAGACCTCAACTGAAACAGCATCCCTGACTACCATTTACTAGAAAGCTTTATATTCTCATTACCTAACAGGAGATTCCCTGTATCCCTACAAAAGGATCCTGAAAAAATACTAGTTCCCTGGGAATGCAGAAATACCTGTGCACTTTAACAACAGCTTTGAGGGACCACAGAGATTTTGTAATAAACGACATTCCTGGGCTGCCACTCTGCTCAAAGACCTTGCAGACAGCAGATTTGTCAAACTACCAAAGTAATTTAAGAGTAGCCACATGGTTTGTACTCTGTGCAGCAGAAAAGAGTGCAAGACCAGAATTAGCATGATTCAGGGTGGGATTACTCAGGCCAGGTGAGACTGCAAGTAGGGGTTGGACCAAAGCAAAGGAGGAGATCAGCTCCCCCAGCACATCTGGGAGAGGGACAGCCACAAAGGAAAACCCCACACTGCTCCTGTCACAGAGAGAGTGAACGTGGCTCCAGACACCCAAACCCAAACCCAGGAGCCCAATTTCACACAAGAACTGAAAACGCTTATTTGGCAATTTGTATGTAAGGTGGCTCATTGCAAAGTAGATAAGGCCATCACAGCTTTTTCCAATAGAGACCCCTTTGAGTTTGCCTCACTATTTATGCAGTAGCAGAGTTATTTCAGTGCAGTAAGACTTCTGGTTTTCTGAGTATTTCCTAATAGGAAAAAAATGTCACACTCCATCACTGGAGAATATCACAAGGCACCCAATAATACTGAACCAACTTAAATATTCCAGCTGTTCTTTAAAAGAACGGTCTCTGTAGCAGTAAAAAAAAAAAAAAGATATTTTATGTATTCTGTTCTAATTATGTTCCCATACTCAGAAAGGTTACAGGAAAAAAAAAAAAAAAAAAAAAAAAAAAAAAAAAAAAAATTACATTTCTAGTGATCTGTGACAAAATAATTCCCTCAATTATAATGGAAACGTGTTCTCAATTTGATTGCAGTAGAGCCACTCTTCTGCATTGATCTGGTTCTTCCAGAACTGCCTGCGTTCAAGTACAACTGGAGAGAAACTCTTCTTGATCACAATCATCAGGGGAAGGTAAATTAAAAATTGACAACAAAGGCAGCTGTTCTGTGGTTTTGGAGAACAAGGCACCGAGAAGAAGAAAGGCAGTGCACCTCTTCAGAGAGCAAAGGTGCTAAAGAGAGACTACAAATCAGTCCTAATTATCCTTATGTATGTGTGTCTGTTGTAGATATGCACTGGAGAGGAATTTTCTAACAGAATGCAATGAAGAAAAATACTACACAGCCAAATTTTGGAAAGCAAAAATTTTGTCAGAGTTCAAGACTGCAACCCATCATAGAGGGGTTCCACCGACTACAGATTTTTTTTGTTGCTGTTGTAAAATCTACATGGAGACTTTCTTCTGTGACATTAGAGAGAGGTTATCTAAGGCTGATGCAGCAGTAACTGAGTCCAACTAAAGATTAAGAATCTCACTGCACAGCCTGGTAAAGATAGCCAAGCTAGCCTTGGACAACCTGATCCCAAATATCTGCTGGATTTTTTAGTCTCTGTTGGGTTCTCCTGTAATCTTGTAGCTTTGAACAGTGATTACCAGAATCATTCAGGATTTCCTAGGACCTTCTTCTTCTCTCTTTGCCCCACAGAGGGATCTTACTGGTATGCTAAATCTTCCATCTCAGTAGCTAATACATACAATCCCACTCAACTTGCTAAGACAAATTTTCAGGAACTCAGCTACTACCAGGCCCTGCTTTTAAGACTGGATGAAGCCCTTTGAGTGAGCAAAGACCTCACAGAGGACAAATGTTTGTGGCTGTGGCTAAACAGAACCAAGATTGACATAGTGGGTCTAATCTTTCTGTGATTAAGAGACAAAGTGAAAAGTATACAGTAGGCAATGTGATTATTTTTTAGCCACTTAAATTCAATTATACTCCTCTAGTTAATGGGGATGGAACAGACATTTCATGCTACAGCTACCATGATACACTTCTGGGAACTTGCATACCACTTTTTTCAAGAGCTAAAATGACAAAAATGGAATAAATAACTCAGCTTGCTATTTTGCTGAACTACAGGACTGCTAAATATTTATAAGACATAATGAAGTCCTGTTATTGAGCTAATATTTTCCCTCTTGAACAGATTTCTCCAGTGGCTGTCAAACATCTTCATATTAACTGTTGCCAAGTGTGAGTTTAACAGCACATCTATAGCTGGGAAAAGAAGATTAAAGTTGTCCACATGATGTTGAGTAAACAAACAGTCCCTTTGCCTCTGAGAAATACTTTCCACTGCACCAGGGAGGCTGGAGGATAACTCAGTATCACTAAGTGGTCACTGTTTTCCAGACTATCCACAAAAGATTCAGCCCTTGAGAACTTGGCTTGCCTATTCTTGTTGCAGGATTTCCAAGGCCACCAGTATGTTCCTCATCAGCACACATCAGTCACAGGGAATTCATGCCTCTCTGCTTGGCACAACCAACCACAGCTCTGTGGTCTAACTCCAGGGCATCTCTTGTAGATATCTGATAGAAAATTCAAAGACCTGAGGCTGTTCTAATATGACAAGACATGTGGAAAGTTGCCAAAAAGATTTGGTCTGCATTTAGATAACAATTTAAAATAATACAGGTATGACATTTGTTCTAGCACAGCTACAAACCTATCTTGTAATACACAGGTTACAGGTTCCTCCCTCTAGGAGGATATGACAAACCCTGGAGGTTTATGGTCATGTGTGTTTCCCTGTCCCAGTCCTAAAGTTTCAGAGTGTCTGAGAGGCAGACTGAGGGAAACATCTGGGAAAGGGTAACAAGCTGGCACAAGAATAGAAAAGTCTCTGCCTGAGAGGCATGGATAGCAGTGAAAGCAGGGATGCCAAGAAACTCCAGTTCTCAGGCAATTACCTGTGTCTGTCTGTCACTGTCACCTTGCGATGGCCTCCTGCTGGAAAGTGCCTAAGGAAAAGCTCAGGAATGGCAGCATCTGTCCTGAATGTTCCTCTGCTCTAGGCCTGTGGGCTGGTAGCTCTCACACCCAGAACTGCCCTCTCCTGGCTTCAGCTTTGCTGCAGCTACATTCACACAGCTGCAGCCACTGTCCAAACAGCTTCCCAGCAACATCCCCAATTTTAGGCAGTCTTCAGTCTATAAATAAACAAATATCAGACTCAGGAGAGATGGGGAAGGAGAAGATAGCTCTCATAGCCTAAAAGACAAACATGCCAGTCCACTGCTTTCACCCAAAGTCTTGTTATCCTGCTACTGCTCACTCCAGTACATATTAAGCCCTTCCTTTCACCCCTTTCCTGCTGCAATACCTATGTCAAAAGGTCTTCAGAGGGTGCTAAAAAGCAGAAAAACATTCCCAAATCTACTTTAGGAAGTGGCTTGCTTCCTAACCTGGCAGTAAGGAACAGGCTGAATGGTACAAATGAAGACTGGGAGTACCCAGACAACCAGAAAAGGAGACTTAGGGGGATCTCATTGCCGTCAGACTTTCTCACACAGGGAAGCAGAGGGATGGAAACGATCTCTTTCTCTGATAGTCGGTGACAGGACCCAAGGGAACAGCCTCAAGTTGTGTCAGGGGAGGTTTAGGTTGGATATTAGGAAAAAGTTTTTTTACTTTTTAGAGGGTGGCTGGGCACCAGGGCAGTGGTCCCAGCACCAAGCCAGCCAGAGTCCAAGAGGCATTTGGACAAAGCCCTCAGGCACATGGTGTGGCTCCTGGGGACTGTGACTCCAGCCAGGAGCTGGACTTGATGATCCTTTTGGGTCACTTCCAAATCAAATATTCTGTGAACTGAAGGGGGAAGACACTTGATATTCACCAACACTCCCTGCTGAAGCATGTGTGCAGCCAAGAAAGCTGTCCCAAACTATTCAGGTGTCCCTGATGTTTGAGCAGGACGGAGAAGCTCGCTGCCCTGGGGTGCCGGGGTGTGCTGGAGGGGGTTCACCCGCACCCTGCCCGCCGGGGCTCCGCTGTGCCCGGCCCAGTGATCCCGGGACAGCCCGGCCCGGGGACAGCCGCATTTAGGGGCTTGGAACACGAGCCCTGTGAGGAACGGCTGAGGGAGCTGGGGGTGCTCAGCCTGGAGAAAAGGAGACTCAGGGGTGCCCTCATCACTCTCCACAACTACCTGAAGGGTGGTTGTAGTCAGGTGGGGTCGGTCTCTTTCTTCAGAGGACAGAACCAGAGGACACAGTCTCAAGCTGCATCAAGGGAAATTTAGGTTGGATATTAGGAAAAAGTTTTTCACGCAAAGGATGATAAAGTTCTGGATGGCCTGCCCGGGGAGGTGGTGCAGTCACCATCCCTGGGTGTGTTTAACAAAGCCTGCATGTGGCACTGGGTGCCAGGGTTTAGCTGGGGCTGTATTGGACTCGATGATCATGAAGGTCTCTTCCAGCGCAGTGATTCTGTGATTCCAGAGCGGTCAGAGCCACCTGCCGGTGCCGCACGGCTCCGCAAGGCCTGCCCGGGCCGAGGCACAGG